GAGAGGGAGAGGGAGAGGGAGAGGGAGAGAATTGCAAAAGGTTATTATTACGGATTTACGGTTCCTACAATTTGAGTCAAATGTCAAATTAGTAGTATAAATGCTACCCAAAAGTTTTGATGACACTTTATTTATGAAAGATGATAGTATTAACGATTATTTGGAATAAAAATTTCAATTTTATCACTGTACGATGCACATTTAATGAGTCATTTGTGACTGATAATTAATACTATAACAATGAATTTATTAGTAAACAGTGCGGTAAAATGAAGTTATTGAGTAATGTGAGATAATGATCAATTAGGTAAGTTGTATGGTAGTTGCTAATTCCATGGCAATGGATTATTTGGGTACCAGTTCTGATCCATCCATAACATTGGCTCATTTTGATAGCGATCCAGTTCCATTCACCTATAACATCACCTTTATTCTGGAATATTTGAATCACAAATTAAGTTGAATTAAAGTTTTCTGTGGAAAAAGTAGCTATAATTGTGGGATAAAGTTTAAACTGAACATAAGTACATAACAGAAGTATACACTTCTGATCTGATCTTTCAAGATTGTTGCATATCTCATGGAATTATTGTTTGTTCAAAATCTTTGGTCAATTATGGGAGATATAATTTTCTTTTTTTTAGGATCAAATATATGAATTACTACTATCCGTTCTAGCTCAGAAAGAATAAGAATTAACTCAACGATTAATCACATTCATAGAAATTCGACTTATACTGTCTTTCACACTTTTTTATATATTACCTATTCCTACATGTATCATAATTTATAAACATTGATAGCTTCTCATAACAGAAATACATTTAGTAATAAGTGCAGCATGTATTTCCTTATTCATTTGTTCGCAGATCCGATTACTGATCAGAATTAAATTTTGCTAAAATTTAAATGAAATTTTGCTACAAATTAAACTTGACATTCAAAGGACATTATAATACCGAAAAAAAGACACATTCGGATTACTTACAATCCGGAAAAGTTCCGATATCGCTCAATCTAATAGCTGGTTTCTGCGTTTCTACTCGACTTATTTATACCAATTATACCAGTATTTTGCCCAGCGATTTGTAATTCGATTGTATTATTTAGCGCATTCTTTTGAAGTCACAATTTGGCGCACAATGCGACACATCAAATAGTCATCTTTCATTCCATAACTTCCACATCAAACGTTGTCACCAAGGGTGAGGCAAAGTAACGCTGAAGAATGGCACTATCGATTGGTGCGTATCCCACTGATTATTTTGGAATATAGCAAGAAATACTGAAGTGAATGCATCGAACAAAATTCATATTAATAAAATCACCATCATTGTGGCCTAACGATGTTTGGTTGTCAGAAGTGGGATGAAGTATTTCACGTGTTGTTGTGTTGTAAAAGGAGGGGAGGCGTTCGTCGGTGGTTGTGTTACACACATGCATGTATGTGTATGTGTGCATGTATGTATGTTTGTGTATGTGTGATGTTATTTGTATATATACGAGAGTCGAGGTCGAAAAATTGGCTCGTCTGTTGTCAATTAGAATTGTTCACATATACATTTTTCTTGATTTCATTTGATTTCAGGCACAGATTAATGATTCATTTATTGCTAAATATGGATTTGAACAAATAACATCGATGGTTGACGGTAAAGGCGACGAAGGAATCGTACAAAGTGTCGCTGATATCAATGGTTAATGCTTTTTCGCTTTCTTTAGGAGTAAACGAAAATTATTAGTGATGGAATTTTATTTGAGAGAATTAAGCGGAATAACCTGATTGTTGGTATTATAGGTAATTTGGAGTGAATGCAATTGATCGGTTGTCACACGATTGAATTGAATGATTTTGCTGAAAAGAAGAGGAAAATATGATTTACATAGCCTTGTTGTAATCATTTTATGATTAGGGATGAGCATAGCAGCTTTTCTAAATTTATTTGTTGGAATATTTGGAAGTTATGCTTCTTTTCAACAAATATTTATGGCTAATCTTGCAGAAATGAGCGAACAGGTATTCGATTATTTATTAGGAACAGTATTGTTGGAGCCTTGTTTCAAAGTTCATCGAATTGCTAAAATTACAAATGCTGTGCTACCACCACCAGTTGGTTGGTTTTAACTATTTCCAATAAAAAGAAACAGAAAACTCATTAAATTGAAGAAAGATAAAAACTCGCCTTTAATTTTCAACTACATTTCCGAGAAAAGCAATATTTTGTGTTCTTTTTCTTTTGAATTTGTACTTTTAGTTTTAGTGTAAGTAATAATACATCTGAAATAAATAGCCATATGATGGGAAATAATTAGTATTTTGCCTTCTTCATTTAATTAATATAACTTTCTATGTGCATGGTTCTTTTTTATTTTAGATATGCAAAATGAACCTACTATAGTGGGCGAATATGATATTTTCGGCAGTACATTAATCTCACAAACGAAACATCAAAAAAATATGGACGTTATATGCGATGAATGCAAACGACCTATCGCAGCGTGTCGTTTCGCTCCGCATCTTGAGAAATGCATGGGAATGGGACGAAGTAGCTCGCGGTCTGTGCTCATTATAATTAATAAAGTAGTAAAACAGTATAGTTTGCTGTAGTATCGAACAGTAGTACTATTTTAAATTGTATGTCGATGTATCACTATATCGAATCTAATATATTTATATAACTTTTTCACAACTGATTTGAAATGGGATGTTTTAAAGAATCAAAGAATTAGTGTTGAACCATAAGTTATTTAAAAACTGCAATTAATTTTTGAAAGATTGGAAATTATAAGGAATGGGATAATGCATTGATATGTTTTAAATAGGATGAGAATTAGTTTCGTGTGTAATTGTTTTCTGTACGTTGGTGCTTTTCGTTTCCATCCTATTTGTACAACACCTTTTATATGAGATTCAGCATTGGAAAATCTCCTTCAAAAATATTTCTTTATATTTCTTTATACCGTGGCTAATTTTACTATTATTAAACAGCTTTTAACTATATTCCGAATATATGGCAAACAATGAAGCATACAAGTAAAACGTATGGTTATAGGATATTTTATATTAGTTCTGGAAATAAGTCAAATTGAAGCAACTTGTATAATTTCGTTTCTTCAGAGTTGCAAAACGTCGCATAAATCAAGCAATGAACTACACCAGTTCCATGAAGAATTCGCTTTCAGAAGGTCGTTTACGTGAATATTCTGGTCGAGACAGCGATATGGATCACTCTGATGTAAGCTATCACAAGCAATCTATCAACCTTATCATTGTTTCACTGTAGCAGCTTTATTGGAGAAATATAATTACTTGAGCTGATTGTGTTCGGTTAAATTTTGAAATAGTGCTAAGTAGTGATACATATTTCTGAAAACTTTGAGCTTGTCTAAAAGACTTTTTATCATAGTTGCAATTAACTAGTTTTTTACAAAGTGCTTCTTGGAATTTATCTGCACTGTATCAGTTGCATCAGTACAAAAGGATGCGGCGCAATGAATGATCTATAATTCGAATTGATGGATCAGATGATGAATTATGATCAATCGTCAAATAATAGATACTAAGGAGAATTATTCCGAAATTTTCCTAGCAGTAAGGTTTTAATCTACAAATAGTAATTAGAAAGACTGCTTAGAAAAGAAGGCTAAAAGACATAAGTTTGGAAGATTTGGTTTCAGGAGGATTCACATCATACGGGAGCGGACGATGATGAAGATTGGGCAAGCAGCAGAAAGTCTCGAAAGTCGAAAAAGTCAAAATCAAGAAATCGGACAAAAACGGTGTTCTACTGAGCTATTCTTCTCAATTATCTTTTGTTGGTATTTTTTACCAGTGCTTGCTATGAAAGTATGACTTTTTGTTCAAAGATATCATTCTTTTTAATTGTATAATAAATATTATATTTAGGTATTTATGTATAATAAATATTATATTTAGGTGTATATATGTAATTGTCGTTTATGGTATCTGTCCTACATCTACCATTTGCGTTAAATTTTCCATATTTGATCTCTGAAACGAGGCATAATTTGTATCGATGACTTCGATTGCTTCGGTTCGTTGTAATTTGAGAAGAAATAGTTAGGGATGTAATTTTTCGAAATACACTTGTTTCTAGGCTGTGCTTTAAATTTTTCAGAGACTTTTCTCTGTTCGGACTTCCTCTGCAGTGCATTATCTTTTTTTCAACATACCTTTCTAATGGGCGCTAATCGTTGCTCCTTCCTTTTTTGAACTAATAATTATGATGCGGTGACTATGAATGATTATTCTATAATGGCTCACGTGGTGCTCATTGTTGTTATCAGTTCTGAATTGTAAAAAATGGAATTTTTACGTATGTTTAATCAATTTTAAGGGCCTACCTTTTTATGCTCATCTGTATTTGTAAACTTTTTCTGGAATTAACCTTATCAAATCCGTAATTGTATTTAATTTTGCTGTTCAAACTTGGCATTCTTTATTTATTGCAATGAGAAAAAAAAAAGGTAATATACTAACATGAAATATAAAGTTTTCCTGAGTATTTCTCGCTCTTCTTTTCTTTTGTAAAAAAGAAATGTCAGCACTCAGAACTAAAAATATTGAAATACTTTTGAACCTTAACTATTTGTATCCGTGAACTGCACTGAACTTTACTGTTTAACTTAAACTTATTCTTTACTTTTTGGTATAGTCCTTTATATATAATCAACCAGAAGAATATCTCATCCTGCAGAAATAAACAATGTAGAAAAAAGAAAGAAAATAGTAAGGTCTGTAATAATTAAACGAAATGAAAACTCATTTATCTACAGAATTCCGATTTATCACGAAAAACGGGAAGATGAAGATTTTTTATTAAATTTTAGTACCATTAAGTTAAAATAATGCTATTACCGTGTAATAGATTCTATATATTTACTAGGACGATCTGTTATTTACAAAATTCCGTTTTATCATGGAAGACGGAAAAAACTGGTAGCCTGACTTGAAGTTTGCATAAAGATTCATAGATATTTCAGTAAATGATGTGATCCTTACGGAGCCGAGCAATAAATGGAGAGCGGTAACTACCTAAATAAAGGTATTCATTGGCTTCTGTCACCTGTGACACTTCTTTAATTATTTGGCCCATTGGATCGTGAGCGCTTGCTACTATTTGGCCTTTTTCATTAAGTTGCAAAATCAACGCATGCTTTGTACCGAATATTGACATTAGCCATTCCCATTGTCGTTCCGGTACCAACTAAATGAAACTTTAGTTATTGACCATTCTTAATCTACTAAATGTAGAAAATATAAATAAACTTTTTGTGGTATCACTGAGAAGAACAGATTTACCTGAATTTCAACTATTTCAGTTTGAAACTTGTAGAAATTTCACCTTTATTTATCAACAAATCTACAGCTTTTACCTGAAGAATACATTTCCTTATGTATGGTTTATCAGCGAGAAAATCCAACATTGAGAACTGATCACTGTGACGCACAGCTCCCAAACCTATCCAAAATGTTCCATTACTACCTAAGCGTATATTATCCGGTAAACCAGGTAGATTATCAATGAAGATTTCCGTTTCACCCATTCGTGGGCCTGCAATCCAATGCCTGCAAATATTTGCATGTCACCTGGACGAAGAGAGTGTCCTCATCATTACAAATACAGGTTTCATACCTTTAAATACTATCGTCGACTACTTTAAATGTTTGTCAGCAAAAAACAAAAAAAAAAAAAAAAAAAGGAATAAATAAAGATGGTAACTGACGATTTCTACTCCTTTAGTTGTTAACAATTAAATCACATTGCCCCTCATAAATGCTAGTTGAAATCATAATTTAAAAAAATGTTTATCTTTTAATCCGAGCAGCGCCTGTTTCCGAAACCAGAAATGACTGTTTGTCAGGAAATAGCTGAATACCGTTCGGAAAATATAATTTATCCATAATGACTTCAATTTTTCCAGTTGATCGTGTTAGGCGCAAAACTCTGTATAAGAAGCATTATTCATTGTTTTTGTTCTAGAATTCTGATCTTTTTGTTTGAGAAAAAAGAAACAATATACTGTATATTTGGAAGCAATTAAGTTATTCTTTTATTCTTTAATTTAGGAAATTTCTAATTCAATTTTGTACTTTTACTTCCAAATCTAACTTTTAATTTTATTTTAATTTACAGATTGCCATTTGTTTACTTCATTCTCTACAAATGAAAAACAAAAATCTTTGCCAATATTTTTTATTTATTACATTATTATTAAATAAGTTTACGACTACCTCAAACTTTCCATCAGTTAATTTAATGCTAATTACCTTCCATTAGGAATACCCTCCAAGAGAATATTCATGAAATGGCGTCGATCCCACTTGCTGGAAGAATCCGTAAATATCAGTACGTCCCGATCAACCACGTCAATATCGTTCAGAAATTTCATTGGTTTACCATTTACTTCCGTCTGATTCCCTAATATTACCATATGTTGTCCTTAAACCTTAAACTAATTATATTTGACATTCTTTTATCTTACATAATCCTAGTTAATTCCATAAAAAACAACTAAATTTACTTTTCTAATCATTAAATTAATAGCTTATAACGCACAATACCTTCGGACTAGGCATTCTATCGATTATAAATTGAGCCATCTTTTAAAACTTTTTTTTTATCTTAAAAAAAAAATTAAAAATTTTTATCTATTAAAAATATATTAAAATATTTTTATTAAAAATTTATTAAAATTTTTTTTTTTAATTTGATTCCACATGCGTAGAACATTTTTACCATTAGAATGATTATTTCGTGCTCAGATTTTATTTAAAATTATCGAAATTTTATAGAAATGTTTAAATCACTTAAAAAAACAATTTAGTTTGAAATTCTGTCAGAAGAACGTTATATTCAACGTAACCTTTTATAGCGTATATACGTAGTAATGACCGAACTCAAAGAGAATTCCGTAAAAAATCACGTGACAATCGCAAATTCTTACCTTTTTCAAAATTGACGGAGAAAATGCCAAAATAAGTATCAATGGCCAAAATAGTTTCAGCATTTAATCGACGAAGACCTAACGGTCGACCACATTTCGGTTCCATATCGAATCGACCGTCTTAACAAATGGGTCATTTGTTAGAAAATTTTACCTGAGAAAAGTAAAAGTTTATAAGTTAGATTTAAATGCAAAAGTAAAATTTAGAAAGCAAATGTTCGGAATCTATAAAATTTTCAATTTTTAATTTTTTATCACATCGCCACTCTACTAATTACCTCATTTTTGTCTTAAATGTTAAAATCTACAAGTTGGGTGTTTACTTACGATCTAAACTTTTCTCTAAAAGAAGTAAAAATAACCGCAGAGATCGAGATTGACCGACCCAAATGTAAGACTTTTCCGAATAACTCCAGATTCTGCCGAAATTATCATTCCATTTTGCATCCCTGTCACAATTTTATCTAGAAATAGAATTAGATAACAATAAAGAAGAATGAGCCTAATGATAACAGTGATAATAATGGTGATAACAGTGATAATAACAGTGCTATTAAGGTGTATTTTGAGTAAAAGTATAGTAAAAAATCAAAGATCAAAGAAAGAAATTTTGGATTAGCAATGTTTCTGGTAGATAATCTCAACGGAATGATTCGAAATATTTCAATAATACTAACCTTTCTCCACAATAATTGATTCTGGGCCAAAAATTTTATCCTTCAGAAGATATTCTGCTTTTGTTAATATATTATTTACTGCTAAAATGCCTTCTAACTTTGGTGGTTTCGGCAATCTAAAGTAATTTGCAGATATTAACAAATTGTTGAAATATCCCACATAACATTTACCCAATCTAACTTAAATCAAAATCTAAGTTAGCTTATCATCGACCACTACGACTGATTCAAGCGTTACCTAAATGAACAATTAGAATTAATGAATCATCAATTTTCCCAAAAAATTAGTACATTTCAACAATTTACTTTCATTCGTCGACAAAGTGTCAAACTTTTTAAATGTTTTTTTTTCTGAATTTTTTGAAGTTATGCAATCTCACTTTGCACATTACTCACAATCTGCCAGTTTGGCTCATTTTTTGGAAAAATTCAAAACTTACTTATAGTGTTCACATTGAAATACTGATGAAGGTGTTACGATGAATGTAATAATGGCAACGATAGCAACCAAAAAAGCCAAAATAAAATATCTATTGAAAAAGGTAAATGATAAAGAAGTATAATTAATTTAATTATACTATCACTAATAATAATAGTAATAGTTAGACAAATCTCAAACATAAAAATAATCTTTTCATCATTTGCTGTTGAATCATTCAAATACACTAATTTGATCAGTTAAAGCCATCGATCAGTTAAATCAGACAATTTTATCAATTTATTCTATCATTTTTTTCATTTTTTTTTTTCTTTTTTTTTGATAAAAAAGCAGGCGCATTTTTAAGAAAGGAATGAGAAGACAAAACAAATTTTTTAGATAAAATCAAGTTTTCATTTGAAAGAGTAAGAAAGAATGAAGAAACGAATCACCTGTTCATTGCAAATCAATTTTGAAATGATAATAAAAATGAGAAAAGTGCTGATGATCTGTAATCAAACCTTATTGATCTGTAATCAGAAAAAGAACAAAATTTCTGATTAATTTACTGATCACGAAGAGTAGCGATCACAACGAAGACTCAACGGAAATTTTAATAATTTCAGTAATAGAAGTTTCATTTCAAGAGTTTCCGAAAAAAAAAAAGTCTCCCGGAAATCATTCTGGCATCTATGAATCCATAGATGTGGAAGCAATCGAGTTAAACCGGAAAATTGTCATTAAAGAGAAGTACGACGACTTTTTCCATAATGTTGCATATTTCAGGTCAATGCTAGGCTGTAGATGACATTGGTACAATAAAAATAAAAGATACTCGATATTTATATTGCCCGAGAAAATATAATTTTTGACTTTCTTTACTGAATTTCAAAATTACCAGCATAATCGTCAACATAACAAGTAGCGATCATACATTAATTATATTCCAATCAGTAAAGGATGTTAGTTGATTTTCCGGAAACAGTTCACTGCATAAGTACTCGACCAATCAGTGACAATAAAAATTGAAATCAGAGAACAGAATAAAAAGCATAAAGGAAACCGACATTGTCAAGAGATTACGATATTAAAATGACAAAAGAATCTGTGTGACTTTATGATGGACAATTATTAAATATAGTTTATTCGAAAAAGTTTTAAATCGGAAATTATTTCTAAAGAAATGCGAAAATATAAGTGTAAACGGAGATGATAAGAGATAAGCAAACAGTAAAGGAAATCTTTTTTTGCATAAATTTTAAATTGAAAAAAAAAAAAATAAAAAGGAAAGAAGAGACCAATAAATGAAAAGTGTATAATAAGAATAAATCATTTCGTTCTTCTTTAAAATATTTTTTACAGTGAAAATTAATATTGAATTTTTTCAAGTTTCGACATTTACTGTCAATCATTATTAGATGGTTTTCATCCATAATTAATAATTAATAATAACAATAATAATAATATGATTAATAAATAATAATAATATTGAAGATAAAATGTTGATGTGAAAAAAACTTTTATTGATATAGAAAAATCGAAAGAGTGCGAACGGTACTAGTTTGATGGGAAAGTAATGGCTCGAAGAGAGGCGGAGAGGGAGAGAGGAAGAAGAGAGAGAAAAATAAATTTAATCAGAGGTACGGTGTAAAGTGAAATGTTTTAAAAGTACAATCAAATAATTGCGACAAACTGATGAAACTTTTCATGTAACTTAGATCGCATAAAAGGTTATAGGTCATCAGAAAGCAATCATACATAACTCGGATTGCATAAAAGGTCATAAGTCATTGGAAAGCAATTGTACTATCTTGTGTCTATCACAAATTTATGTATTTTATCCAATATTTTATTCCATTGACATGAATTATGTAACATTAATTCAACATTTATTCAACAGAATAAAATTCGCAAAGAATTGAGAGAGTCTTCTAGACATATTGTAAATTTGGGATTTTCAGATCTAATTGATGGCTTATAAGCATATATTATCTATATATTAGCAATGAGTAATGAAATAGGGCAATTTTAATTAGCTAAAAAAAGTAAATAATATTCAAATATGAAAATTCTTTCATGAAAATTACAGTACGGTCACAATATTTGGGAATATTTTTTTATTTTTTTGTTTGCTTTAGGTAGTTTTAAATTGGTGGTTATGATTTATAATTTTGTGTTAGTATGATGATATCCCGGTATTTGTACGGTGTGGTCATTTTGAAATGGCAATATGACCAATTCGTATGAAAAAATGCTTTTCAAAAATATTTCCAAACCGAAATGTTAAAATAAATCGTTTTAAACCAAATTAAAAGGAAATAAATGATAATTAGTATATTACTAATATATTGCATATTTGTAAAATTATGATAAGAAATAGTATACTCTATGAAATTCAATCAAAATATCTATTAAAAATGACAACGGCTAGAATCCATGTTTATACAAGTTGAAATACGACTTTTTTTATGTCTATTAAATGGTCTTTAAATTGGAATATAGCGTTGGCAATGATGGAAAGCATAAATTCTGGTATGTTTTTAAACTTCTTTAGAGTCTATAAAAATTGAAATATGATTTTTTTGAAAAAAAAGAAAAAGAAAAACTGACTACTTCAGTGCCACCGCAGAGCGAAAGAGGTATTTTCATGGTATTAGTAATGATTGTTGCAACATTCGGAATTTCATTATTTATTTCTCCTTCGAATTGTTTGAGATTTTAAGTGGTTGAAGTGGTTTCATCTGAATCATCAAAATTATCAAATAATGATAAATCATATTTCTCTACAAAGTATTTTTATATCTATAAAGTATATATCTATAAAATTTATATATTAATCTATAAAGCAAACAATCGATTTGTATAAGTTTCGTTCATAAAAGCATAAAATATTCCTTTCTTTCAAAAGCAATGGAAAAGTGTATTTTCTGTGGTTGGTATCGTCGTACAAATGGTCCAACGTTGAGATTTTATGGAATTCCACGTGAACCAGGCTTGAAACGTGTGAAATGGTTATGTGCTATTGGTGATCGCGAATTATCAGCAAAAGATAAGGTTTGCTCATTTCTTCATATCATTGCATTCCAGCACTATCTATTGCTCACATAATCAATTAGCAAGATTAGTTCGAGAAATGAATTGTATCTGCTTAGGTTTTGCAATGAAAATACCACAATATGTTAGCTTCTATTTGATAAAAATTATATCCAAAATTTAAGTGTGAACATGAGTATCAAATTTTACTATAATTTAAGCATGCATATTTGGCTATAACTCTCAAGCGGAATTTTATAGTATAATTTGATTTTGTTCCTTAATATACGTTTAGAATCTAAGGCAAATCTAATCTCATATTTCGGTCCAAACTTAAACTAAAAACTATATTTGACTATATTTTTACTTATTATAACATACAGCTAACTTCAAACAGTATTGTGTGGTATTACCGATTATGTTTATTTGTTAGAGAAGTTAAAATCTCGATGCTCAGAAAGTAGTGAATCAAGCAGTTAAACCTTTTGTTTTTTTTTTGAAAATTTTGCGATTACCATATTAAATATGATTCTTAGCAGCATGTTGTTTTTAGTGTGAAAAATCAAAACTTCACAGAGGATTTGGAAGATGTAAATTATTTAGAACTATACTTCTAGTATCCCTTAGGATTATTTCATTTTATGTCATTTTACACACTCTTAAAATGACATTATTATTGCTTCCATTCACAGGATGATGTGCACTTTTTTTATATAAATATCGACTTAAACATATTACTACTATTTCATTATCACTTTATAGGTATGCAGTATACATTTTCGACAAGGTCGACCATCTAACGATCCATCACATGAAGATTTTGCTCCTCATTTATTCCTGCAACGTTTGACAACAGAGCCCGTTGCTAAGACATTAACATATCTTGAAAGTCTTGCAAATGATGATGATTTCGATGAAATGGTGTGTGTTCATTTCAGTTTCTTGCTTTGAGTCCTAGGCTACCTCACAAAATAATATATGACAGTTACTTTTAAAAGCATATGATTATCGACTTTGTTCATAGGATAACGTATACTTACAGCACTTTTTCCTTGTAAATAGTAGTTCTTCTGCTTAATAATAATATTTTCTCGTAGTAAAGTTGTTGTCTTCTTCTATTAAAAAACGATGATTACTGAAGTTCACTAAGATGTAGGATGAGCTGGTATTTTTCTCCACCAACGATAGTGTAGAGATGCGTAATAATCATTAGAGTTTTAATCAGTGAGTAATTAAATCTAATTCATGATTCTAGCCTTCCGTATCACGACCGGAACGCACTGAACGTCTGCATGCATGCAAGCCATCAATTTTACGAAAACGACGAAAAGTGATATCTTCTTCAGATGAACCTAAGGTTACTGCTTCATATTTTAGTCAAACTGTTGTATTGCAATTAGATATGACTTGTTTGGTTGGAAAACACGAGAATTTTATGAATTTATCAGTTTATAGAAAATCGACCAAGGTGCTACCGAAAATTTGCAAGATTGTTCATCAGAAAAAATTTTGTTATCGGAAACCCAAGAAGTGGAGAAAAAGTCATTAAAAGATGATATGCCGAATATTGTAATGTTCACAAATCCTGTAACTGGTATGAAAAAACGCATGAAATTGCAACATTTACCTCGACCGTTTGTAGAAGCAGTAGGTATTAAGCCAGGTCAAACTGTTATTATCAAACGTCGCATACGAGTGGCTAAATCTGCACGAAATCAGGTAAAACCCACTACGACTGACTTCGTAAACCCAAGTGGCACATTCATATTCTTTTTACCTTCATTTGGCATTGTTAATTTTAAGGAGAAAAATAATTTTGTAGTCGATATCTTTTGTCATTTTTCGTGGATAAACAAGTTGTGGATGGGAATTTTAAGTAGAATCTAAGTTTTATGAAGATTGATTAGAAATTAATTACTCAGAGATGACGCTTGTCAATATTGAAAGGACAAGAAAGTTTCGCTTTTAATATACTTTTTTTTTTTTTTTCTTTTTCAGATAGAAGGATCTGATACTATGGAAAATGTGTTAGAAAAAGAGGAAAACCTTTTGGAAAATGCAGCAAACATATGCTGACAATTCACTATTGAAAAACAATAGAATGCCTTTTTTTGTGGTACTGTACAATGCAACGATCTCTTTTGTTATCTCATAAACATATCTTTTTGGAAAAAAAAGTATTATTGAACTCTCGAAATTGTCTTATTAAGCATAATGCAATGGTTGATGTTCGCTAAGAAAGTAAACAAGCTATAGGTCTTAGTCAAGTCAAAAAGATATATCTGCTTATTCTGGCGCATATCTATAAATTCACATCTTAATTTTTAGGTTATGTTATAGAGACTATAATCTTTTTTATAATCTGTAATTAAATATGAAAATAAAGAAAAAAAAGTAAAAGATTGAAAAAGAAAAGGAAAAAAAAAGAGAAAGAAGAATATTACTAATATCTGTATAAAAATTCTTTGTCGGTTAAAATTAAGAAATGTTTGGAGCTTTCAAAAAGGAACCACAAAATTTGAGTATCAATAAACAATGAAAGAAAATATTAATTGTTTCACTGCATTCTTCCTCTTATTATCATTTTAAATAAATAATGAATATACTACATTTATCATTTTTGTTTTTTGAGATCCATGTAATTATGTTCCATCATATGTAGAGCTGTTAATTTTTTACGTCTTTTTTCTTGCTTTCTGGTAACTGTGAATAAATATTTCCAGCTAGATATAATAATTAAGATCGTAAAACCTTAAAAAAAGAAAAAAAGAAAGAATGATATGAATAATTGACAAAAATTCAATCGATTTATAAACTATCATTACAATTTAAAAAAAAAAAAAACAAACTATCCAGAAAGAAATTATGTGTCTTTTTTGCTAGTAATAATTACCTTAGCGAGCAATAATAATAATAAAAAAAAAACTAGCATTTTTCGTTTCAATTGGGAATAATATAAATTTCTCTACTTGATGATGTAATGTGTTGCATATTTTCATCATGATGTCCAATTCAAAACTTAATTTTTTTTTTTTGTTTTTAATTCAATGAAAATTCTATATGAGATACAAATTTCAGTAAACTTACCAGATAAAGCAATCTGTATATACTGAGCCATTGATTTTTCCAATAATTCAGTGTAAAAAATTTCAAAGGAAAGGAAGCCAATTGATGTTATTGTACAAATTATATGAAATATATGAAGTGGGATGCAGTCGAAATAATAAATTACAAAGAGGCGTAGGAGTAGTATTGTCCAGTAGTGAACAAAAAATGATGCAGCAATAGATGCTATATCTAAAAATGTTTATCGTTAATTAATTACAAATATAAATTTGTTAGCAAATATAAAATAAACCGAAAAAAAGTTGCATAAACATTTTTATTTTTAAAATTATATTTAATTTCATTTCATAACTAACCTGTAGCAGCAGTGGTAGAAGTTTTACGGCGTAACAAAACTTTTAAAAAATTTTTTGATTGTATGCACTGTCGAAGATTACCGATAAGTTGTATTACGGTGAATGCTAACCAAGCGCGAATAATATTTTGAATTTCCATTATTATGTTAACATTGTTTCGAGAATTGAATAACAATTTTCACATCATACTATGAAAAAATAACCTAAATAAACATATGATGCATGACAATTTTATAGATTTAATAAAATTTGGGGCAAAAAAAAAGGAGAAAAGTCTTTAATATTAGTCTTGAAAGATAAACTTTGTTTGAAAGATCAAGCTAAAAAGGTACTAAAATTAACCTAAATTCATCATATTAATGGCTAACTGAAAGAAAAAGGAGACTAATTTAACTCAAATTACTTCTTCAAAAAAAGAAACTAACAATTTAAAAACTCAAAATTTTGGAAAAATGTATGTCACAGATCTTACAAAAAAAAAAGGAAAAGGAAAAACAAACCTTTCCCATTTTCATGTCAAATTTCCATATTTTGAGTTAAAAGTCATAAGAATAGCGTGCTAGCATACTTTTACAATATTGTGTAGGCACGAAATTTATGTTACAACCAGTGCAGATATTGTAGGTAATTTGTCAAAATATTCGTTGGGTTCACAACATTGTCAAGTCTAATTACTCATTGCATAATGACATCAGTAAGGTAGGAAATAAGCTAATCTCCTATAATCAAACATTTGTATTTAATTCTTCTTCAGAACTCTAACAAATTAAATTAATATCGTTCTATTTTTATCAAGTTTTAAAAATATTGCTTTAAAATTTAATTGGAAATCAAAACAAAGTAATTTTTTTGAAGGATATGAATTCTGGTAGTGCAGAAGATCTTTGAAAATGCCAATTTAATCTTTACTGAATGCAATTTCAGAAAACAACAAAGACCACAGGGAAATGAAACAAATCTTCGACATATCGTTAATAAATGATAAGGCAAATAGAGTGATATTTGATAATCAAAAATAATCATTGTGCATTATCCTTGTAATAATCAAATAATTCATACCCAATGAAATTGGAGTTTCATGCAATAAAAAGAACTCGGGAAAGATTAAGACAAGGGACTATAATATCTAAATTGTTACCATCCATGCATTATCCTACAATCTGTGGAATTTTTGCATTTCAATATTTAACAGCAGAAAAAGACAAAAAATAGAAGGCTAAAAATGATAATAAAATGAAAAAAAAAATGAGATGTACTTTATGCAAGGAATTTTCAACATATAATCCTAAAAATTAGAAAGAAGTATAAGGAAGCAATTGAGAAATAAAGTTCAGTGAACAAATCGCAATGTCATCACAGCATCATAAACGAAGAAATAAATTACAGTGAGTATCATTCATTTAACATAAAATTTGAAATCCGGCTTCCGTACTCCTAAACTCCACACGATCGAACGGCAGATAACTAATCCCTTCTCAAAATTTTTATAAAACTTCTAGAAACAAAAACATATCAAAGGTAAGTCATATCATTATCTAGTAATGCCGTTAATCCATTAGCTTAAGTTCAAAAATGAAGCTTAGATTTTCTTAATGATGGATGATGACGCAAGAAATCAACTTTCAATATTCGAATTTTTTTCTTTACTAAAATATTTTACTAAGGTTACCACTCGACAATGTAATTAAATTGTGTCACCATCATCAGATTAAAATATGTCGTGGAGATAGAGAGAGAAATGTAGCCGGTTCAATAATACTAAAGACACCTAAGCAAAAGAATGTAAAACCCTGACTGTAATATCAACGAGCTTTGAACTGTGCACTAAACAATAATTGTTGGTATAACTTCATAATAAGGCCTTCTCTAATGATAATAAAAGAAATTCCCAAAAGTTTTTCATCAAAGCAATTTCATCCAAAATTTTGAAAATTTAAATGACTAAATAAACAAACCACACTTCTAAGCATTTTTCTAGAAAAATTGCTATTCTAAAATAACCCTCAATCAACGGACTCAGTCAGACGTAATAATTGGGTGAAACGAACAGATCTGTCAGAATGGAAAGTTGATCTTCACTGAACTGCATCTTATGTTCATGCCAATTATCTTGATGAGTACGCTTGAATTCACTCAACGCTTTCTTCACTGTACCCTAAAAATATTCTTTCCTTAACCGTTAAGATGGTTATCACGTGGAATAAATGATCTTTTTTACACTATTCAATGGTTATCACGTGAAATATACGTTTTTTTTACGCTATCACTATGACTAAGAATGTTCAGAATAACTGAAGGTAGATTATTTCAAGTCAGCTACAAGTCAACCAAAGAGTTAAATTTAATAACTCTAAAATTTTACTAAAATTTGAAAAAGAACAAGAAGCCTACTTGCATAGGTTGTTTGTCACAAGTGTGACGACAAAGTTGCATCAGGATTTTCGGCAAGAATGATGGAACGCTGTATGGAAATGCCTGAACAATAGCAGAAAGAGCTAAGACACCGGCATGTCGTTTTGTACCATTCTCCTCTCGAGACCATTCGTAAAATGTCTCCTAAAATTTAATTTTGTTTAAATCATCAGTATACGTCGGTACATTTGCTAATGTGACATACATATCGCTATTACCTGCGCAACAAATTCAATCAGTGCTTTTAACTTATTTGCAATTTTCATTAATGGTTCATAACGATAACATGAACACGTATAAACATAAAACTTACAACAATTAGGTGGTCCACGTCGAAGAAGTGACAGTGGATAAGACCTGATAGCGTTGTAGCAGCAGCTTCACGCACTTCAAATTTTGGATCAAGTATCATGGAGCAGAGAATAGATTGTAAAAATGGGCGATGATGCAGGAAAAGGAAGAAATTGGAGAATACAGCAACTTGCATATATTTTAGCAGCGAAACTTTCGGTTTCCACCAAGAAGCAGCAGATGAAGCTAACTGTAATTGCAAAAATCAAATTGAAACAGCGATCAATCAAAACATATATATATATAAGTTATTTAAATTATCAAAAGATTGGTACCACTCCTACCGCTATGGAGAACGGTACCACACTATCAGAGGATAGATCTTATGCATAATGTCGGATAATTACTTGATTTATTACTATAAGTAGTAAACTCAAGTAAACAATCACAGTGCACTTCTACAATTTTAATTCCCTTCTTAATATGAGATTGATTGCTAAGATTATGCATCCACAGGTAGCAGAACATGATAAAGCTAACCTCTTTAATGCCACACAAAACCATTTCTACATTGCTTGCCACAATAAGAGTTTGTGACATTCCTTGGCGCAATTGATCATGACAACTATTTTTTAATTCCTCGTCGCTGAAACAAATTCTGAAGTAACAAAAAGATCCTGATCATGAATAGGGTTCCTTTCCTATAACTCTTAAACACGGTAATCGAATCACTTATTTTGTTGATTTGCAAAGTGAAGGTATTAGAAGAGCTCCCGGTAGTTTCCAGTGTTAGAAACAAGGACTGTGAAACTTGCAACTTTTGACGATTTAAATGTTCATTTTGCTACCCTAAGTTCGATGCTATAATTTCTTTTCAAAAAAAATGAAATACCTTGTTTCATTTTCAAAATGTATGAGCAAGGGTAAAACATTAAAAATAGCAGGCGGTAA